CTCCAAATTTCATAACGTCAATAATATCAATACTTTTGTTGAACTCAAATTCCTCCTCAACTACCTCAAGTATTCAATCGAACTGTTCGAACCAGAAAATAAGAACTAGATAACTACCAATGACAAATCTTATTATTAAAGTAGGTAGATAATATTTAAAAATGGAAATTTTGCAAAACTAAATGAAAAATCTTTCAAATCCATTTTGGACATTTCCAAGCATCATATGAATCTCGCAGTTCCAATTGAATTTCTTAATATCTAATTTCAGTTAAAAGTTTGGCATATTATTAAATTCTCATTTCATATTTTGTGACCTAGAAGGGGATTACGTTGGCACATGACTTGAATAAATCTAGACGACGATTAAGGTTTCAGGTCAGTTCGTTCAATTACTTATGGAAGTAACAAGATAATACATCCCTATTATTGGGAGCATAATTTACACCGGGAGCGAGTAGTTGAGCGGCAAAAATCCACCGCCGCCTATAATTAAACCTGCATAAACGCTCGCAACTGTCTCGTAATGAGTTGCGTCCACTGATCTGATCCGAGCTGATTTCATCCGTGCTGCCAGCCTCGGATCATGAGCGGTAAATTCTACCGGAATTCCCTTCGGGGAATAAAATGGCGGAAACGATGGACTCTTGCTGCTTCTAATTGCAACTGAAACGAACAAGAGCGGCACCGACCGTTTTTCTTTTTTTTTTTTTGCTCCAGCCAATTTTCTGGTTGTTGTTTCAGAAAACAAAAAACTCAGCTACATTCACGACGAACCATCAAAAGCAATCTCCTTTATAAAACGTACCCAGTTGTGATGCCTATAGTACTTATTTGAAGTTGCACGTTTTACATTTATTTTTTAGCCGTTCAGTTATTTACAAAAATAAAATTTGCATTTACATTTTAGTGCAGAAAAGCATGCAATAACTCACCATGGAAAAAGCGCTAGAGACATAAAACAGAGAATATCACAGGGTCGCATCGCTTTTATCAAAAAGTAATCACTTTTGTGCTAGAAATTAGTTAATGTTGAAAAGAAAACAGTTAGAAGCGTTTGAATTGTAGTATTATAGAAGGATGCTAAAAATACCGTAGTTAAAAATGAGGAGGTATAGAAGGATTAAGAGAGAGAGAGAGCAAATAGGCGAGATAGGTAGGACACCCCTTTAGAAATGAAGATGGGTAGAAGTAGATCTAGACTAGATTACTGTTCGTACATAATTAAAGATGTAGGTTGCTCGAGTTTTCAAGAAATGGAAAGATTAGAAGTTGATTTAGACTTTCAAAGTTTTCGTCTGAAGAAACTGGACTTTCCGATTCTGACCATGTTTTATCCCATCTTCTCTATGAAGATTGTTCAGGTGTTTGTGAATCTCAAGTGCCTCCTTGATGACCTTGGGGATGTAGTGGTCATTCAAATAAGATACTAGCCAGAGAGAGACGACACTTCCACGTACAAGTTAGAATGAGTGGATTGGCTTGCGCGTTTTGATGATTTAGGGAGCCGGACCATACATTCAACCATATCGGAAGGGGGGGATTCCTTAATGAGAAACTAGACTAAGACAAGTCCCTGAAAGAGGGCAGTAATTCTTTCAGTACTCGGGGTGACAAAGATCACGAGGATCGGTATAACACTGTACAATACAACGATGTGGAGATGTGGAAGACAACGGGAAATCACCACATCATAGTATCTTGAGTGTAACTTTACAAGTTAAATGATGGCATCCTCTGGGGTAAAGGCGGATTCCTTAATGAGAAACCAGACTAAGACGAGTCCCTGAAAAAGGGTAGCAGCTCTTTCAGTACTCGGGGTGGTAGAGATCACGAGGATCGGCATGACACTGCACAACACAGCGATGTGGAAGGCAACGGGAAATCACCACATTATGATATCCTGAGTACAACGTACTCTTACAACTGTACAAGTTAAATGATGGCGTCCTCTGGGGAAAAGCACTCCGGACGTAAAATAGTCCCCATTCGGATATACGGGCGGGGACTACCTCGGTGGGTTGTCATCAAAAAGTGCAATAGGGAAAGTTGCAATATTTCACGAGTCGCAGGATGGAACGTTAGAACAATGAGACAAAAAGGAAGTAAAAAAAATGAAAGTCAGAGGATAGTGCAGGGTAGAGTCGTCTTTAACTAAAAGAAGTTACTTCTATGCTCACGAACAGTTCATTTAGAAATTCGAAAAAGGTTCTTAAAGGTATATATCGCAATGATGAGGATACCGTGGATCGAAACGATTAGAAATGACGAGATATTAGAAAGAGATGGAGAACAAAGGGCGCTAGGGAACTCAATAAGAAACAGGCGAGATAGGTTGGTAAGGCATGAAGGACTAGTTAGAGACATAGTATAAGCAAAAACAGGAACTAATAGGAGTAAAGGAAGACCTACATTAGATTAATGTTCATAAATAGTTGAGGATTTGGAATGTTCTAGTTTTAGGGAATTTAAGGAAACGTGCGTGTCCAAACAGTCTTAGGACTGACTACCTTATTATGAAGAAAATGAAGATTGGAAAAACTTAGGCGGTTGTTGTAGAACAAACAAAATAGCTCAAAACCCCCACGTCAAAACACGACAGTGTAGTTGTCCGAAGCACTTTTCGGTAACAAGGTTACATTCTTCAGAGAGTGATGTGAACGAAAAGTGCTTCGGACAACTACAGTGTCGTGTTTTGGCGTTGGGGTTTTGAGCTATTTTGTTTGTTCGACTTTATTATGTTCAAGATGATGATGATGACTTACATACTGCTAAGTGAGCACAGTTTGATAGTTTGATAGGTAAATATAATCTCACTATCCACATTTGGCAATAATCAAATAATATGGCGTAGATATGTGATCAAATTACCTATTTTTCTGCTTTTCATTGAATGCATTTATTCTTTTTGAATTGAGAACAGTTTGAGAACCGGCAAGGAATATTTCACATTATGAATCTTTTATGGCCTCTGAAAATATGGTGGTCCATCTTTCCGAGTTTAAACCCAAAGCCTATCTCATATTAAACGTATCCCTTCATGGCTTTCGGTGTAATCAGAATACGATAAAAAACGCAATATTTTTTTATCCATGTGTATATAGCGTACATATTTATATCTGTCTACAGATAGGCCTACAAAATGTACATTTAGGATCAAAGGTATGGTCGTATGGTGCCATTTGGTCTAATATCGAGCCGTGATGTCTTTCACCCCGTCGCTCTGTCGTCAGTGCGACACCTTCTTTCTCTCGTTTTATTGCCTTCATATATTTCACAAAATATCTGACCATCTTTCCGGTTGGCAATTTATATCTGGGGCATTACACCGTCGACATATAGCTCGGGCTTAGGCCCGTTCGAAAAACGAAATCTGATCCGTAAGCGCAATGAATACAGAACGCGAGCTTTCGAATTATGGACGTGTTGACGTGAAATAAATTGGCCGAAATATTTATGTATTCGATCCGAACCAGAAGACATTAGCAACGGGCCATGTCAAACAGGTATGTGTACGTATTGGGAAACTGCCAGAAAAAAAAAATAATTAACGATATGCTAATGTATTGGGATCGACCCCAACGCTCCTCTTTTTATTTTGGGCGTGAAACATCAAAAAGATCGAATCGAATGCTCGTATCAGAGGGAAAAAGAAGTGATTAATGGATTGACTGTATTTATTAGCGGATAAATAGTTTTGAAAATCTGCACGCCGTTATCTAGCTAATTGAATTACAAATTCTCAATAATTACTTAAGAATTAAGAAACTTTTTATGATCATAATATCGTCAGAACTAAGACATCTATAGAGTCCTTTCTTTTCCCATTCTTTCTAATACTTCCTTATTTTTAACCTTCTCTATCCACAGTATCCTCATCATTCGCCTGTAACACCACATTTCGAACGCTTCTAACCTTTTCTTTTCCGCAGCGTCCACCGTCCATGTTTCGCACCCGTACAGCGCCGCGCTCCAAACATACATATAAAAACAATCTTTTTCGAATTTCTAAATTACACGTTCGCGAGCATAGAAGTGACTTCTTTTTATTAAAGGCGACTCGACCCTGCGCTATCCTCTGCTTTATATCCCTACTACTCCTTCCGTCCTGACTGATCTGACTTTCTAGATACCTAAAATCAGCCACTTCTTCTAATTTTTCGTCTCCTATCTTTATATTTGCTCGCCTCCNTTGTGTATTACATTCACCTTTAACATCTTTCAAAATAATTGTTTATTAGGTCGAAATTTTAGTTGCGCTTTTCTATGTTTAACATTTCTACGTATTTTTCGCGTTTTAACAATGAAATTTGCTTTAATTTGCACTGTAGTCAAAAATCGTTTCCAGGACGTTTTTCCCCATATTTTTGTGTATAACATTCACCTTTATCATCTTTCAAAATAATTGTTTAACAGGCCGAAGTTTTAGTTGCGGTTTTCAATGTTTAACATTTCTACGTATTTTTCGCGTTTTAACAATGAAATTTGCTTTAATGTAAACTGCAGCAAAATCCGCTTCCATGTCGTTATTCTCTACGTTTCTATGTATTACATTCACCCTTAACATCTTTCAAAACAATTATTTAATAGGTCGAAATTTTAGTTGCGCTTTTCTCAGTTTAACATTTCTACGTATTATTCGCGTATTAACAATGAAATATGCTTTAATGTAAACTGCAGCAAAATAATCACTTTGAACATCTTTGAAAGTAATTGTTTAAGAAGTGGAAATTACAGTTGCTCTTTTCTGTGTTTAACAGTTCTTTCAGGTAATTTCAATGTAATAATTTAACACGTCGATAACGCGAACTTATTTTACTGAAACCTCGAATACATCTTTTTATTTTTTAGTATCGTTTTATTTATCAAATAAACGTTTTTTTGCTGTTTCAAGGCGATGTATACTTGTTTGTTTTTTTTTTATGACTGACAAGAGCGAATTCGTCATTATCAGAAAGGCTTGCTTCGTCACGAGTGATAGAACGAGGTAGATATAATGAGAGTGAGAAAGATGGAAATTGAAACATTTCCTGTAAAAGAAAAGTACTTCGGTGTCGAGGTCCGATCTAACACGAACAATAGAAATTAATATTACAATTTTCTGTTATTATTAATTCGGCGCCATGTTAATGGGTAGTATCGGGTGCTATTAATTAATTGAATTATCGCGTTAGTTTTCGTAGATTAGTAAAGAAAACTTATCTGATATCGTGTTGTGCAATCATCAATGAGAATTTGAACAGTGACTGGAACAAAAGTTGTACTTAGGATTAGGATTACTAGTGGAGTGGAGTATAAATGGTGAGTTATTGAAATAAGAGTTATCATCCGTTTT